AAAAGCTTTCTATTTATATGAGCCAGTATTAAACATTAACAACGCCAACGCATGTCCTACATTTGACGCACTTCACAAAGAGTACCATAGGTCTTAGATACAATATCTATTTTTTATTTTTTACTTGCCCTACCAAAGACATTCTGTTTAATAACTACATTTTGTACGGTTATTTCAAGATTTATAGTGCAATCAAACACCGTTGTGTCGAACTTTGGTGTGTCGAACTTACGTTTGTCTCGAAGTAAAACATTGGTCCCTGCGTATTTATCTTTATTTATTTTCAGTTGTGTCAAACCTCGGATAACTCTTAGTATTTACGTATTTACAAACGATGTTTGACTATCTATATTAATATCTTCAAAGATGCTACTTATTTATAATATGTGTTCAAAGCTTACATGAAAGAGATACACTGTACCACAATACATTCTCAAAATATCCATTTTGTTTATTTCAATTGAGACCATATCCCCATGTCTTTTTTCTTTGTCGCAAAATGAACATGTCAGGCATGTGTCCTGGAAAGGGAGGAATCGAGTACTGACTGAACAGCTGAGCTTAGTGGAGAAAGAATTGAAGTGAAGTGACTGCTCCCTCATATGTTCACTTCAGCCAAAGACTAAATTGCCGAATGAACTCCTAACTCCGAAAATCCGACTTTTTGTGTCCCATATTCAGCAAATTACCATCCTTCTTTCTATCAACAGCTTCGTATTTGATTTCCAAAGTTGACGAACATTATCTCAGTATCAAATAAATATGATTTTTTTTTTCACTTACCTTTTCACTATTAATACCAATACACGTTAGCCAATCTCAAATGTCGTGAAATAGCAGCTTTTACACTGTTTGAAAAGAGAATATTGCATCCTAAATTTCTTCACTGATCCTGTGATATTGGGGGTTATCTTATCCCTCAGCTTTATAACGGCATTCCAACCTTGTGGTTTTATTTTCCAACACTATTGTCGTGTGGATTCTTTATGAAGGTTGTTCACAGTCTCTCACACCACACTTAACACACATGACAAGCAGTATGCCTCTGATATAGGGCTTCTGTAATCTGGTTCTCATTACAGATCAGTTTGACGCACGCCGTTAGTGTTAATCCGAAAATCCGTAAATCCGAAATCCTTGATGGAAGCCTTGACTGTATTGATTTTTCCATTACAAGGGATAAGTATTTCAAAGTTTCGTCCATCAAGGATCTTTTTAGTATCAGTGCTCATTTACTCATCGGTTTTTTAAAAGAAATAGAATTAATAGATAAATTTTGATTATAATATGTATAGTATATAGAAAGTGATTTTAATTTGGTAAATTGAATTCATGACTTGGATTGTTAGTGGCTGTATCTTCACAGGGGGTTGAAGTATCGTAAAACAATTGTCCCCCTGGGAAGGTACGTAAGTCCGGTATCATTCAAAGTATCTTTTCATTTTGCTGTGATTTTAATCGTAGCATTTTTGTTGATTTTAACTGTTTGGCTAATATTTCTGATCATCGCCAGTAGCCCGAGGGATGGTGTAAATCCTGCTGGGGACCATGTAGGTAGCAGAAGTACCGTAAGTCCCCATGGTCCCTAGTATGGTGGCCTAGCTTCGGTTGCTGGCGATCTACAGCCCGTTTTTATACTGTGTCGTCTGATTTAATTTGATCGTTTTATTGCTCTAAAATTAGTTTTTAAAATTATAATCTGTGATATATTGCTAATTGTTGTACTGTCCTTCGGCGACAGGTTTTTATATATAATATAAATGTTTAACTTGTTCAAGTCGCGATATGGCTGAAATAGTGCCGATGTGACTTTAAATATTAACTCACTCACTCACTCACTTGATGGAAGCCTTGGATCGAGAGAGAAGTTGCGTCCAACCTGGTACAGGGTATTCCCCTATTTCTCACATGTAGCTGAGAGGTCTTGATTCAGTCAGGTAGGATCAACAAACAGAGTAGTGCACTTCGGCGTCATATAAAGTTAGATACAGACAACATGGGGAATCTAGTCTCGTGCTTCTCAGGACTTCAGTATCGGGTACGTCTTAATAACTTTCTTCTATGAAGATATTTATACACTTAAGCTAGCAGTAATATAACATGTACACAACATTCAATCCTCAGCTTAGTGCATTGTGTGTGGTTAATAGTGGATATACGGTAACAGAATTATTGACCAACGTGATATTGTGTGCTTTTCGTTCTAGAGAATGCACCAGTCGAACAACGAGCTGATCGAGTATTGCATCCATCAGAACATAGGGAGAGGTGCGTTAAATTCCCATTTGAAAAAGATAATTGTGTAAGACGTTGTACGTCTCAACTTGAAAAAAAATGATTTCAGAAATTTGGTTATATATCCCATTTGTTCAGTATTACTATCAACTTTGTGGTCATTATTTGACGACATATACGTATATCAGAGGATATACACAGTTTCATTTTGTAATGATGATTATCGATCAGTATTTGAGATACGTTAATTCGATATCACATATCAATCACACAATAAACAGAACCTGTTTATATGTGATGATTTTGGCGTTACGTCACGTAATACACATTTGTGTGTAGGTTCAACACGTCGTGTGAACGAGAGACTGAAGACTCCTGTAACTCCACGAGATCTCGGACTTGTTGCGAGACATATCGGGATCGGCTTTGAGCATGTCGGGATTTAACTTGGGCTCAGCATTGTGGCTATCCAACAGGGTAGAGTTGCACACCCATGTTCAATGTATATGCAGATCTTGATTATGCTCACTAAATGGAAGCAGAGGAATGGCAGTTCGGCCACCTATCTGGACCTGGTCAAAGCACTATGGACATGTAAAGAGAGATGCACGATCGAATGGGAGAACATTCTCAACATCCTGCAGTGACGGCCCTCCTTGACAGTGTAATTGCACCTCGGTCGGAGAAATATTACAAGAAATGAAACTTTGTTTTTATCATTTCGAACATGACTATCGTCATACCTTTTTACCTTGTTTAGAGATATTGTAGTCTCACCTCTACTTTACAGCGATCAGTAAATATATTTATCAAATCACTGTTTCTTTGTGTTTTCTGCATTTGCAAGTTTACCCCAAGAACACGTGAAGTCAGATTGTACCAATGGCGGCTCTTACACGTGGAGTCAGATTGTACCAATGGCGGCTCCTACCGGTTGGGCAGGACATGCGTGCACTTTCACAAGACGTGGTGTCGTCAGTGATTTTCCGTAATCCATTCCTATAGTTTTCCCAGCTATTTTGCCTTTTACGCCCAATGGAATCTGTTTTGGTGGATATCCAAGACTGGTTATTCTCTGGCGCTGACATTTTATATTTATTGAATTTAGAATGCTACGGATTCGATTTTACATGTGAAATATCTCCCGTAAATAATGACAGTTCATAGTGATGCTTTTAATAAAGTCATGATCGTAAAATGGCGTCTGCTTACCACATATATTTCTTGTGATTATGCAAAGGGTTTTGTCGCTCTTATCCATACAAACATCTCTGACGAATTCAAATACCTCCACTTTCTAAATTAAATTGAATAAAAAACTGATTATTCAAGTCAGTAATCAGAACATATTCGTAATTCGTAGTTCGATCACAGTGCTATACAACCTTCATATTGTACATCGTTTCAAATATTCAAACCGTCCCTCTGTTTATATCACTAGAAATAGCATAAGTAAGCGTATATGTTTTCTCTCCCTTTCTCACAACCTGAACAATAGGTAACAGGTACAATGGTTGTGGTGATCAAAAGATCAAAATTGCATGTACATGAGGTGAAGAACAAATTTGCTTCATGGTATGATTTAAAACAGGAAAATACTATTTCAATTCTGGAAAATGAGTTCAACACAAAACAGAACATTTAAAGCCGTTCAAACATCAGTGCACTTCATTTCATTATACCTTTCGTCATTATTACGTACATTTGCCACATTCAGACACAAAGTCATTTAAGCCCAGTACGAACAACTACAGCTGATGCCTCTATTGACAATACGCCTGTCAGCTTTTTACCCACAGTATCCAGGTTTCGTCAGGATAACTTCCGTATCAAATGCTAACATAATATCTGAAAACAGAGTTGCCTCCCTTTGACCAGCTACCGTAAACGTGGTATGCATTATTCAACCTTTTCTATCCCTGGCATTGTCTACAACTGACTTTGTTGACTGGATACAAGACAGGATAATGTTTATAACGGCGGTGGCAGTACGGCTTACGATAGTATTCCAGTTATATCACGGCGTGACAGCTTAATGTGAGAGGAAAGCCCAAGTGATGAATGTATCAGACGTTTACCACTTCGGTGAAACCCAAGAGCACGGGTATGGTGCTGACAAACCTATAAAAACATCAACTGGGCGAACATGGATTCGAACCCACAATTAAAGGTCTCTGGCGTGCCCAAGGGACGCAACTCTGCACAGCGAATCACGGCGCCTTAGACGGCTGGGCCATTCGTACCCCGAAAATCTTCAGACCTGACTTCACAAACAATATTCAGTATACGTTTGCCGAGCATAAATAAGGAGGCATTTTTTTATTTTTTCCCTCATTTGATTCATTCTCTGTAGAGGTGAGGCAAGGCAAAAAGAGGTTTGAGGTTAAACGTTGCGTTCAAGAATATTGCACTTATATGAAGTGACGTGCATGCACGCGTGTGTGTATATGTGTGTGTGTCTGCTCATGTCGTTTTTACAGAACAAGCCACTGATACACCATGCCGAAGTTTTAACATGACTACCCCACTCTGACACAGTATACTGACCACAAATTGACCAGTCTTATCCCCTTAATGCTGAGCGCCAGGCGGGGTAACAAGACCACCATATTTTAACGTTACTGGGCAGATACTCTTCCTTTACGCAGATGCTTAAGGATGTTCAGGCGTGGTGTACATACCCTCACTTTACAATTATACAGACATTCCAAAGATAATGATGCTTTAACATCGATGTGTCCTTTCTGCAAATATAACCAAGAAAATGAATACCATGTTTTATTGATATGTCCAGTAAGAATCAAATACCTGCCCAACTATTATTATACGTGTCCATCACAAAGAACATTTGTACAGTTAATGAACAGCAAAAATAGCAACATTCTTCTCAGACTTGCAGTTTGTGTTTATAAGATATTTGAAAGAGGGCTAATACATTGAATATAAATAAAACTGCGTACACCATATTTAGCTACAATCTAATCAATATACAAGTGGTGCTTCACGACGAATTGTTTTACAATAAAATGTCATTGTGCTATTGGCCTCATGGCCACACATACGAAATAAGTCTGTCTGATACTCTACACATACGACAATGGAGGCGGTCTAGCCCACCTCATTTCAGAGCAAGGTATTTACAAATGCAATGGTGTATGATGACAATTCTAGCAGGCTTGATCATCACACATGTATTGTGCTTGCAAAACATGCTGCTTATTTATGCCATGTAACCTGGATAACTTCATTCAATTGTCAGTTTGTTTTGGTTTGGTTTTGCGTATTTTCTTTATTTGATTATAATAAACAAAGACACTTATTTGTCTTTTTCGTAGGGAAAGTGTTTATTTAGATCAGTATAGTAAATATAGTTTGTGATTGGTTCTGATTATGATACACGCTGCACTGGTATGGCTCAATCTGTTTGACTTCACTGCGTTTGGAAAAGCATCTTTTTCTACCTGTATACATATTCAGATATATACACATAAAGGAACAATCGGACCCAATTGCCTCGAACTCCTGGGGACCAAAGAAATAGTTCGATTTCTCCGAAATATTTAAATTCGACCTGGATCTTGATTAGTTCTACCTTTTAACTTTGGGGACTATAAATTGAACTCAAAACACCCATTTCGAGCATTCAGGTAACAATAATAGAAAACGGTTCAAACTATATTGCCAAATCAGTAAATCAGCACAAAATACAAATAAATAAAAAACAACTTCTATTGTAAAACGTAATTGTAGGTCTACAGTCACAAAGGGGTTATACAATGGGTCAACTATGGGCAATACATAACAGGCCATTTAACTAATGCAGCACTAACAAGAGTTATCTGATGATAAAAGTATATAAATTACACCATGAATGTTAGTACAATAGTGCTTCCAACATCATTCGCTCCTTAGATAACGTTTTCAGATACAATGTTTGTAATAAAAGCGATATCTTACGGGGATTCGTTCAGTGATCTATCACATAATATGTCACATAAGAATATGTCAGATATCATGGAAGAATGTAATACTGGTTGGTTTTGCCCATGACTATATAGTCTGTATTTGTTCAAGGGACACAGCTCAAAGAATTCTATTTGATCTTAGCATTTTCATGTTTGCCAAGACATCATGGAAATTAATAGGATAAATTGCTTTGAAATACAACAATCATTATATACCTGAATATGAAGTCACCGTGAACATACTTTAAAGTCTATATTGCATGTACAACAGGTTACATGGCTTCGTATTGGGGGTGAGACTTCACAACTCTGACACTGGAAATGGTGCAGAAACAAATCAAAGTGGCAATACCGTTCATTGTGTACGTCAATCTGAACTCACTCCGAATAATTTCAACAAAACACTTTGCTTTAAGAAAGTTCGGAACACACTGAAATCTGCATATGTCCAGTTATAAACATTTGTAAGAAACTGTCATGTAATCTTCTAAACATTAAAGTTAGGCATGAGCCTAGAATTTGTGAAGTACAATGGGGTTTTTATGGAATCGAGATGCATACCGAAACGTCAAAACTACATCGACACAAATCACTCCACTACTTTCAACATAACACGGGGGTACGCGTGGCCCAGTCGTCTAAGGCGCCGCGATTCGCTGTGCAGAGTTGCGTCCCTTGGGCACGCTAGAGACCTATGATTGTCATCGACACAAATGACAAATAACTTTCTGCAAACCAAATTCGGACGGCTGACTCCTAAAGGAGGTTGTAAAAATGTACATGTATACTGTAACACTGGACACCATAATAACAATGATAACTCCTTTCTAGACCACTTTTAGAACTGCTGCAGCTCTATCTTTTCCCCAGACTCAGTGTAGTGAATGATGACATTCTCAGAATTACTAGTGGTATCTGAACTAGGCAATGTGTCACCAACTACTGGAGCATGGACACAGGTGGGAACATGACTTGAGTTTCCATATATGGCTTTTGATCTTTGATTGGGTGAACGTATCTCCATGCGTGCATGATCTGTATGGAGGTTGTTAAGATTTCCGTCTATATGATATGGTTGGGATGACTGCAAGGCGACGTATCTCTCTTCCATAACACTTTGTCTGTCTGTGGAAACTGCTTGTCCTAGTTGACTCGGAACATAAACCCCTGGCAATTCTACTGATGTGTGGTTCACGGGGCACGTTGATGTTAGTGGTGTGGATGTAAGCAAACCGCCATTGTTATAGCTTCCGTGTGGAATTGACGATGATTTCATAAGAAACTGGCCATCGGTTGTCACCCTGTAACAATATCACATGCACTTGACATAACATTTCAGATAAAATAGGACTTAATCAAAATAGTGATGCTATTGTGACATATAATACAAAATCAAGATGTAAAAGCCTCCAGCGCTTACGAATTCGTATCTAATGAAAAAGACTCCAAACTAAATGGAAGCCCCATATACTCATGAACGTAAACCACTGAATCATTCAATATTATACACAGTGAAGCCTAATTAAGTTCAAATATTGGTTAACATAATTTCAGTGTTTTGGCAAAGTCCCCATTGACATATGTAGCCCATGGAAAATAAGTTTTCACTTGGAACAAATAGCAATAGAGTTCATTTCACCACTATACATTTCTACAAGGTCCCCAAAACAACATACTTAAAGTCCCAAGCAATCCCAGTTTGGGAAATATGTCTAATTTACATAATCCAATATGGCAACCAACTGTCAATAGTATTTCCATATGTTTTGAGGAAAAAACAGCATGTGTTGTGTTGCAAAATAACCATATTATGTTTCTAAAAAGATATTCACAACTATTGATCGTTTTCGACTTTTGAACAATCTACAAAACATCAAGATGGCCGGCAATTTCAAGATGGCCGACACATTTCCTAAATATGAGTTTAGACTGTTGAAGCTTTCATCTCTGAAACAGTGTGCTGGGACGTATATGCATAAACTTGTCACACTAACTGACTGGCCCAAAACTCCAAGATGACCTCCAAGACATGGACAGACATGGAATATCAATACACTGTTGATCTCTCATGACATATTTGATTGATTAATTTGGGACTTTTAGTATGTTGTTTTGGGGGCCTTGTAGAAGTGCACTGTCCATATTATTTTTTAGCTGAAATAGATATTTTGATATATCTCTGATGGTACTGTCCTCTTCGAGGTCTCATATGGTTTCGTGAGGTTTCAAAACTGTTCTGCAAAACAGCGTATACAATATATGTGTTTGGGCTGTCAACTCAAGCATAATTTCCATATTGCTCTTACCTATCTATAATGTATATTTGTTGCCTCAGGTATAATCCTTGCAATATCATAGTGATGTTGTGCCTCTGCTTTTTGTAAAGCAGTTTCTCCTTTATCGTCTTTCTCATCCACATTTGCCTTGTTCTGTAATAACACCTCCACAACCTCCCTCTGTCCCTGGTCGGCTGCATGATGTAGAGGTGTGCTGCCATCTTGTCGTTTCTCATTCACATTTGCCTTGTTCTGTAATAACACCCCAACAACCTCCCTGTGTCCCTGGTAGGCTGCATCATGTAGAGGTGTGCTGCCTTTCTTATCTTTCTCATCCACATTTGCCTTGTTCTGTAATAACACCCCCACAACCTCCCTATGTCCCTGGTAGGCTGCCTCATGTAGAGGTGTGCTGCCATCTTGACGTTTCTCATGCACATTTGCCTTGTTCTGTAATAACACCCCCACAACCTCCCTATGTCCCTGGTAGGCTGCATCATGTAGAGGTGTGCCGCCATCTTGACGTTTCTCATCCACATTTGCCTTGTTCTGTAATAACACCCCCACAACCTCCCTATGTCCCTGGTAGGCTGCATCATGTAGAGGTGTGCTGCCATCTTGACGTTTCTCATCCACATTTGCCTTGTTCTGTAATAACACCTCCACAACCTCCCTATGTCCCTGGTCGGCTGCCTCATGTAGAGGTGTGCTGCCATCTTGACGTTTCTCATGCACATTTGCCTTGTTCTGTAATAACACCTCCACAACCTCCCTATGTCCCTGGTAGGCTGCCTCATGTAGAGGTGTTTTGCCATCATTACGTTTCTCATGCACATTTGCCTTGTTCTGTAATAACACCTCCACAACATCCCTGTGTCCCTGCAAGGCTGCAAGATGTAGAGGTGTGTTGCCATCATTACGTTTCTCATGCACATTTGCCTTGTTCTGTATTAACACCTCCACAACATCCCTATGTCCCTGGAAGGCTGCATGATGTAGAGGTGTGTTGCCATCATTACGTTTCTCGTGCACATTTGCCTTGTTCTGTAATAACACCTCCACAACATCCCTATGTCCCTGGTAGGCTGCCTCATGTAGATGTGTGCTGCCATCTTGACGTTTCTCATGCACATTTGCCTTGTTCTGTAATAACACCTCCACAACCTCCCTATGTCCCTGTAAGGCTGCAAGATGTAGAGGTGTGCTGCCATCTTGACGTTTCTCATGCACATTTGCCTTGTTCTGTAATAACACCTCCACAGCCCCCCTATGTCCCTGGAAGGCTGCAAGATGTAGAGGTGTGCTGCCATCATCACGTTTCTCATCCACATTTGCCTTGTTCTGTAATAACACCTCCACAACCTCCCTCTGTCCCTGGTCGGCTGCATCATGTAGAGGTGTGCGGCCTTCCTTATCTTTCTCATCCACATTTGCCTTGTTCTGTAATAACACCCCCACAATCCCCCTATGTCCCTGGTAGGATGCACGATGTAGAGTTGTGCAGCCTTCCTTATCTTTCTCATCCACATTTGCCTTGTTCTGAAATAACACCTCCATAACCCCCCTATGTCCCTGGAAGGCTGCAAGATGAAGAGGTGTGCTGCCATCATCACGTTTCTCATCCACATTTGCCTTGTTCTGTAATAACACCACCACAACCTCCCTATGTCCCCGGTAGGCTGCATCATGTAGAGATGTGCGGCCTTCCTTATCTTTCTCATCCACATTTGCCTTGTTCTGTAATAACACCTCCACAACCTCCCTATGTCCCTGGTAGGATGCACGATGTAGAGATGTGCGGCCTTCCTTATCTTTCTCATCCACATTTGCCTTGTTCTGAAATAACACCTCCATAACCCCCTTATGTCCCTGGAAGGCTGCAAGATGTAGAGGTGTGCGGCCATCATCACGTTTCTCATCCACATTTGCCTTGTTCTGTAATAACACCTCCACAACCTCCCTATGTCCCTGGTAGGCTGCCTTATGTAGAGATGTGCAGCCTTCCTTATCTTTCTCATGCACATTTGCCTTGTTCTGTAACAACACCTCAACAACCTCCCTATGTCCCTGCCAGGCTGCAACATGCTGAGGTGTCCTGCCATCATTAAGTTTCTCATCCACATTTGCCTTGTTCTGTAATAACACCTCCACAACATCCCTATGTCCCTGGTAGGATGCATTATGTAGAGGTGTGCAGCCTTCCTTATCTTTCTCATCCACATTTGCCTTGTTCTGTAATAACACCCCCACAACCTCCCTATGTCCCTGGTAGGATGCACGTTGTAGAGGTGTGCAGCCTTCCTTATCTTTCTCATCCACATTTGCCTTGTTCTGTACTGACACCTCCATAATCGCCCTATGTCCTTGCCAGGCTTCATCATGTAGAGGTGTGCCGCCATAATTGTCTGTCACATGACTTATTCCCTTGTTCTGTAATAACATTTTAACAACTTCTGTATTCCCATATATACATGCCAAATGAAGTCCAGTTTCACCCTTCTTGTTTGGCATGTCAATGTATACTACTTCCTGTAACAGGTAACTTACAATGCTAACATTTCCAACTGCACATGAGTAATGGAAAGGTGTTGATCCTTCAGGACCTATGATATTGATGCTACGCTGTCCCTTCTTTATAAATATATCCATGATATCTTTGCCCTTTTGACACATGGCTGCATAATGTACATATGTATTCTTTCTTGACCTATACTTGTTCTGGCTCGTCTTCATCAAATGTGACAATCTGGAAGCCATTGCAAACAACCCACCCATACAGGCAATGTCCAAAAGTGAACATTTACCAAACTTTACTCTCAGATCATCTACAACTGCCAACTGCAGTTTGATGATAAGAGGTCTTGGGAGTTCGGGTAGCGTCATACACAACGTATCCAACTTCCAGTTATTTTTGGAACACAAGTTATCGAAGTTGGCCAAACTATTCCCAAAGCAACTTCCAAACAAAGCTTCCTGTCTGTCCTTTACCTTAAACTGAACACTGTTCAATGCTTTCTTCAGCAAATTCGAGTTTTCTGTGATGCTCGCCCAAAAAAGAAAGGAATATCCATATATAATGTCATTTTTTGACAATACTTTCAACAGTTCAGATTTGTCCTTGTTCAGATTATGCAAGAGATTCTCCCAAACCATATCAACAAATGTCTCTACCTGTAATAGGGAATGCATGCACACAAAGGCAAACGTTCTGCCAATTACAGCTGTAGCAAACCGCTTCGCTACAATATGCAGATCATCATGTTTCAATTCGATTTTAAAAGGCACATCTAGTTGTTCCTCTTCGGTTGGATCCCCGCTAGATGTCACATAACGAAATATGAATTCGAGATCCATCCTTTCAACCAACTGCCTCACATCACGTAGCAGTATTTCTCTTAGCTTTATTGCTACTTCATGATTTCTTATTCTATATGAGCCCGCTTCATGATGGAGACAGCATCCCGCCAATTGGGATAAAAAAGGTTTCATCATATTTTCAGTGTATTCTTCTTCATTGATGTCAAAAACCTTGAGTGCCCAAACAATATATTTTTTGTAGGTTTCTCTTTCCACGCGAGTCCCTGTGTCAGACCCTGCCCATAGCATCCTCTCCTCCAGGTTATTCTCCGCCAAAGCAACCACTAACAAGCACGCCATATTCTGCTTATGCAACAGGTGCTGATTCAAACATGGATAGTCCTCTGTATCTGTGAAAATAAATAACGTTTGTTAGAAGCAGTTTACAACATTGCACATGTGGATCTAAAATATAATACCTTGCGTAACGCCTTACAATTACGTAACATAGTAATGATCTCCAGAATGCATACTTTCATCACTGGCGATAGCACAGTCGGTTCCTTCATGTGTTTCATGTCCATCCTCTTCATGAATAGTTGGACCTCCTTGTTCTGTTGTCATTGTACAGCTATTTTCCAGTACATTTCTTGTCTCCAGTGTTACAGTTTGAATTTCGTTTGTGACATTACTCTGTACATCAACTGCCATGATGTGATTTCCTCCACCTTGCATATCTCCCTTGTCCTTGGCATACTGTAGTATCCTCTGAAGCACATACAGCCTGTATTTCTCAACGTGACAGTTCCTCATGATGCCTGGAGACGTCTCCGACAAAATTGCATCAGCAGCCTGAGAATATGAAGGTTAGAAATGAAAAGGTATCTTTTATACGTGGTTATTGAGACACATGTTGCCTTTCATATCAAAAACATAGCTTCAAACCAACCTACCATCAGAACGAATATCCCACAGCTGTGTCCATCAGACTGTTCTATCACTGGGTACTGTTTCTTCATCCATGACTTGCTCCCTTCCTTAGACGTAGATTTCAAGTGGTTTACAAAGAGCCTGAGGAATACATGTATATTACTCGATGGCGATAACATCTTCGACTCATGTGGACTGGTGTTAAAGTAAAGGTAGAGCAGAAGGTAAATACAGCAGTGCCTTGAATATCTGCTTAAGTTATATGACATTTCTGATGTTTTCTCCTGCTTTGTCCATCATTAGGTTTAATGTTAGCAAATACAGATGTTATTGTTTAAATGAATGAGTGACATAACTGTATTTATGGCGTTTAAGTCATTCCCACAGTGTACCCATTTGGGGAACTGAGTAACCCTGTGAACAAGTTGTTCTATATCTTCTACCCAAAAGTAAAAGCTACAAATGTGAGTGTATCGAGATTTTTTCGATGGATCTTATTTACATTCATGTTAGTTTTTGACAAATCACCATTTCAACATTTCAAATTGGATAGCTTGGTTTTAACATTTATAATGTGCAGCCACACGTTCTGTTTTTTTTTGGGTTTTTTTTTTTGGGGGGGGGGGTTGTATCTACCTCTAGTGTTGTACAAATGGGTCTTCCACATCTAAGGCTAAGAATTGACCACGCCCACTGTTCTGTCCACCTACCTCCAGTGTTCTACAACTTTGTCCTCCACATCTAAGGAGGCTTTAGAATTAACCACGCAAACTGTTCCATCCCTGACATTAGCCACCAGTAGCACCCAATGTTGATTACGTGGCATGTTCACTGGCATTAAGATCCACGTGTAGTTTGTCAGATTTTCCTGAAAGTTCACAGCAAATGCCTTTCCAGTGTACGATCAATATATCCAAAAACACGTGCTTCACATAAGATGGATATGGTGTAGTAACAGAGATATAAGTGAATTGGTATCATGGACTTGGTACTGAGAACTTCTAAAGAACTCTCCCTGACAACCAGATTTTCACTTCGCACAATAATATGTAGCAAGATGAATATGTTCATGTGCAATATCTGCTTTTGTACCTGCATATTGAAAACGAATAGCATTATGATCAATGGGGTTACTGGCTTTGACTCAATCGAAACACAATTCAGTACATGAATCCATCATGTGCACAATTGCAAGTGGCAATTACTATCATACTGAATACGCAATCATGGCATAGACGAATCATATGTTATCATAAGAAATATACAATTACTACAAAGTATCTTTCGAGTCTTGACCTTGTTCGTGGTAGGGTGGACATGCAATGGTACACTCGGAATGACAGAATCACAAGAAATATATAAATCTCACGTCACTCACATCTTTCCCCCTTATCCTGTCTGTGTACTGTCCTGCCTCCCACAGTATGATTGTCTCTGTAGGCAGCACCAGGCAGTGGAAGCTGACACGGGAACACCACTCTCCCTCCAGGAGGTGCAGGTATGTGTCCATGATCTGGACAGGTAAGAGTTCATTTATTAGAATATTTATTATATTGTTTAGTCCCCCAATGCTTTCGCTTCAAAAGGAACGCTTGTAATTTCAAATCAAAACAGGATCCGCTGCACATCACATATTCATCATGAAGAAAATATCTCGGCTGTTAGCAATGACTGACAATTAAACTGATGATGTACTAGATTGTGTGCACAATGCCCATAGCAGGTGGGTAGTGTTATCATTGCAGAATCAAGATGCATAGAAATGAGTTGTTACTTAGCACTATTATATGAATTGATAATCAACTAATACTGGTGTAAAAAGAAGAAACCGTTAAACGTTGCCGTATTAATCTTAAGATGGGGGCTCAGTGGTCCAAGGCGCCGCATTTCGCTTTGCAGATTCGCCAGGGGAATCAACAAAGTAGTAAACGTCTAAGATATGCATCACTTTGGAATTTCTTCATAATTTAATCCAACTCATCATGACACTTCTGTTCAAAGAGGCATTTAACCAAACTCACGCTCTAGCTTCCCTACCTCAAGGCACTATCAATGAGTATTAGGTGACTGAACCACTCACCACCCTCACGCCCCCAGTTAATATCCGAACTGACATCATTTGATGAAATCGAAAGCCTCCCATGCTCTATGAATGATTTTCTTGGATGATTAACTACGCATGTAGTTTGTGTGATTGTGTAAATAGAGCAGATGGACTACTTACTTCATCTGTCAGCCACTCGTTGGTTTCCAGGCGAGACAGAATATCTCCTCTGATGGTGTAGCAGCCAACTGTGTATGTACAGTCACGTGTCAGGGGGGCGTCCTCTTGTACATGCTGCAGGTGTGAAGGAGGATCCTTCAGTGTTTTCATAAAGTCCTGTACTTCAGTCCTGGTATGGCATGCTCCAACAAGCACTGCTGCGATGAGGTTTATGTAAACTGACCGGTCTTGGTTCAAGCTCAGCACGTCAGTATTTACAGAACATTTAACCCAGTTTCTTGCTTTGATTGCATCTAGATTCCAGTTCTTGTCGACCTCTTCAATGAGTGACAAGCACGGATTGCCTTTGTTGGTACAGTCCTTGTTCCAGAACCTAGATAATGCTAGGACTTGTTGCACGACCTTGATCACATCACGATTTCTTTCTACGCCTTCAAGAAATGTGTACAGATTAGTGTAGGGTGTGTTAGTGACACAGGTTACAACTGTGTTGTCATTTTCAACTTGAGACTGCCAACGAGGTTTCTTGACAGGGGAGCCTGACGTTGTACCCAAATATTCTATGTCATCATCACTTCTATGATCTCCTGTCGTGCTGCGTTTGTGATTTGTGTCATGATCATTCTTTGTTTCAGTCTCTGACACCTTTGCTTCATTCAGTGTTACCAGTGATTTACCACTGTCTTCCAATTTTGTCGGTGATGAATGATCTTCAGGGTCCAGGTTGGAGTTAGTGTTCTCCGTGACGCCCGACTGCACAGCTCCACCAGTTGATTCTACTTTTCTACATTTACTATCACCTGAAGAATTAACTGTCTGTTGACCACGCTTCTTGCGTTGAGGAGCAGGCTGTGCTTGTGTGTGGTCCCCGATATATTGCACTAGGACGTGTTTCAGAGGCTGGTTGTACAGATACGATGCTTCTCTGACAAAGGCCCTTGTTGTTGTCTTGTCCTCGGTGTAAGCCTTGTGGTACTGCTTCACTATGACTGGACTTGAGCCAGGCTGCTTCCGGGTTCCATCACTTCTAAAGTGATAGTTGTCGTCCTTCCAGATATCTGGAAATAGAATGTATCATCATAGTATTGCAATGTTGTAATCCTGAAGATGAACCGTCCGTCAAAAAGCTTTCTATGTTTGCGTGTCACGTGTAATGTAGTTATTTATTAATGAAACTGTGAAAAGTCAATAGTGTTAAGATACTATAGTATGAAGCAACCTCAATGCAACGTCAACTTAGTTTGTCACAGGCCAACGAACACAACACACACATAGAACTGTGAAGTCTTGAATAAGTATTTAGTATAAGAGGTTGTTGTAATATTGATCATCCTTGGCCATGTTCCTCCACATACGTTTACCTCACCCCCTTCTCCCCGAGGTGTAAAACAATAATTGATATTTGGTTAGCCTATATTGATCAATCTAACAATGGATTTCCTACAGGTTAACATCAGATAATGTTCACTATTTAAGTACTCGATTATCGTAAAGGGGACAGAAAGACTGAAAAGAACAAAATAGACATAACATATTGCAAAAGAGGTTGTTCTAATGATGACACAGACAACTGAACTGAATTGGTATTGCGATGTATTGTGCGACAGTCACTCGTCCCCAATATTAGCGCACATAAAATCTTTCATCACAGGACTGTACAAGGAAGTTGATACCAGGGCGGGGTGACCCCGACGTCATGCAGACTATTACTGAAAACCTACATGTATATGCATGTGTTTTTTTAGGAAATTGATCATGTGTGTTTAACAAACCCTTTGAATTCAAATTGTATAATAAATAATATCAGCTTTCCATGAAATATTAACATTGTTCCTATATATCAATCCCTGACTCATAGTGGCACCAAGCCTGAACGAAACTGCCTCACCTTCTCTCATGCCCGAGGGAATCTTATATAGGTACACCTCCCCTCCCTGGGGTGTGGAGGGGGGTGTCTGGATGGTCTTGCTCTCATCTGGACTCCTCAGAATGTTAACAATCTCCTCCAATTTAAGGGCTGATGTTCTCCCTGTGAGGTAAGGCTCGGGTGGCATCGGGGAATTAGACGCCATTTGCGTTTTAAACCAGAAACGTCACGAATGGTTATCCATTAGTCACACAGGCGTGGGCATCAAGTCCCGTCCTGTTGAACGTATAGATGACAAATGTTATTTGGTAAAATTTACAAATGCATAGCTTTGTTTCTGAAAGTGACTTACTCCGATGTTCGTGAAAACCTCGATACACCTGACTACACCCGAGCACTGACAAAACAATTGCTGAGCTATTGGATTACATTTCGTGATTTTGAACACTCTAATTTTCTTGACCGTCTCCGTGGTGTAATGGATAAGCTATTTCCTTCGTTTGAACATTGGCGAGTAACTATGATATATATATATGGGGGCTCCTTGTTTAGTCCTTGTCCAAGCTTCCTACTTTATAAGCATATATATCATAACTGATTTCACAGCTGCGCGAGACCTGAAATTTTTCAGTAAGGTACTCCATGGCTGGTATTCTGTTTGTTGTGGTTACCAGTCTTGTTTGTGTATGTTTTGGTCTAGTTGTAACGCCTCATTCGAGTACATGTTTAGGTTTATTGTTCTTTGTGAGTGGCGTGTGGGGTGGTTGAAAGATAAAGAGTGGAAGTTCGGTTTTTAGATCACCGGCCGCTCATACCGCATGGTGACACAGCACATAGACACACAGACACAGTCAAAGATCAGGTGAAGTTAAGAAACGTCAGTTGGATGGGGGACTACTGAGAGTTTCTGGGGCTTCGGTCCTGCCTCACACAGAAGCACATGTGATGTTTCCTTAGGAAAGTGACTCTGTTCGAAATGTGCCTCTGTTCACTCAGAAGTACCCGTTGGGATAAGATGACAATGTGACTGTTAACTTTCTAGCGTCTGACAAGGCAGCTTGGGCTGTATACTCATCAGATAGAAGAGAATGACCCAAAGAAGCGCTGCCTAGTCTGCCTAGCCAGGACTTTTCGGAGAATGTGAAGACTCCCCAACACTGCAGCCTTCTGCATTACCCAGATTGTCAGAAGGGCTGTATTCCTGGTAGCGAACCCGGGTACTGTCCCCACGTCAGTCAACAGATTGGGAGGTATCAAACCTAAGGCACTGAGAACATTGGGGAGTTGGACAACTTGGTACCTGGGATGCAAGCGTGACATTTCGAAAGAGGACAGAAAATTCGAAAATATAAATTATTTCATTGGAAGGACCAGATCATTTTATCATTTTCCATGACGCCCTCTACATATTCTGGGTCGTACCATGGATGGACCGGTTTGTGAAAACCACATGCATTGCGAAGACGGTAATAAAATGATCGAGCCACTCCATCATGTCACTTAAGATACTGTGTTGTGCCAAAGCTGGGCATCCACTGAAAATGTGTTGGACAGTCTCATTAAATTCATTTCATATTTACCTTTTTCGTGCAAAATCACACATTGATGGTTTGGAGTGGGAAGTGACTGGTTCTGAGCAGCAAACAGAAAGCCTTCTGTTTCACTTTCCAGGCCAACCGACCTCATCCAAGCGAAGGACTCTGCAGGGTTGCTGACCTTCTCAACACACTGCACATAAGTCGTTTAGATAGTCTATCCTTGCGTCTGCCCCGATTTGATATGGTACTTCACTTGGTTGACACCCATTTCTGTACCGTCCAGTAGTACAGAACCATCAACAAAATCAACACCGACATTAAGGTCATATCCCACATCCTTGGCTCGTCCACGAAAACTGTGGAATGTCTTGTCCCCAACATGAGGCCTGACATGCTTCACAAGAGGATCATCAGACAAGTAAATGTGTGCAAAAGTGCTCAAAACATGAAGAACCCCTCCCATTATGATTGGCAAATATAAGCGACCGAGGGAAGAGCGAGGGCGGTGGGACCCACATCCCTCCTCCCTGTCCAACCATCAACACCAAAGTACCACAAAGGACGGGCAGAGCACAAGCATGGCCCTAACTTCATAGCGATCACCCGTATCCGTACTCTGCCCGAGGTTTTTCCTTGACGTGGACATTCTGGAGTTTGTCCCTAATCTGCATCCCTAAGTACGAATAGGCCTGACCTTCCACGAGATGGTCAATAATTCCTCCTCCAAGTAAACTGACTGATCCTCCCTCTTCAACCTAGCCAGGTTTCAGATGAAGAATGTTGCATGCCGATATCATTAGAAAAGTACTCAACAAGGGGAATCAGTTTTTTTAGTGTGGATCCTCAATTGGCAATAAGTTCAAGGTCATCCATGTAAAGGAGGTGAGTAAGGGGTGTTGGGGATCTGTTCCTAGGAGGTCCAGGGTGATAACCTTCCTCTTTGCTGAGCAAAAAGCTTAAAGGATTTAGTGACAAACAAAAAAGCAACGGATTAAAAGAATCGACCTGAAATAGTCCTCTTCTAATAGAAATTGGTTCCGAAGTAACCACCTGCTTCTGCAAATACATCTCAAGTTGAGTTGACCAGCAATTCATAGGAGAATTGAGTAAAACAAGTTTTATTTCTCTACTTTGACAATAGTTCCTAAATTGAAATTTATAATCGAATCTGAAAGATTGCATAAACATACCTCTTTTAGTTGATGAAAGAGAAAGCTGGACTATTGCTGTTGTCAAACGATACATCTTTTGACTAATTGCCGGTCGTGCCGACGTCTGTATTGGGGGATAAAGGAGCTATTATTAGTTTTTGCTCGATATTTTATAAATTTTATTAATATATGCTGACATAATTGATCGTTATTTCTTGGTATCAAGGTTAGATATGACACTCTTCTTCGGATATAAGACCCTCGGAAAGAAAGCACAGGGAAAGTAATTATATTCCTTCAGTGTTCTTTCCACGAGTCTAACCTCGGAAATTGATTCTGTACATAACAACCAAGACTGCTTACGACAGGTGAATTGTACGGGCACTTAAGGTAGTAGATAGTTTAATACAACGATTGGCTCCTTTGTCCGGACTTTATAAACCTCTGGTGACGTCATCCCGTTGTTTAGTAAGGGGCTTTCTCCTCTGAGCAAGTTCTGGGATTGGACATTTTGTCAACCACTGTCCTGAACACTGGTGGTGTGCACTTTTTACTTCCAGAGGCTGACAGACTGCGAACTGACCTGTAATTATATTCAGCAGATCATAATGGAAGGTTTGTTTAGATTTAACCCTATTGATTTTATAGATTTAGTAAGAAATAAAAAACACTGTTTCAGCCCCTATCGCCTACAAACTCAAAGAGAGATATTTAAGTATACACGTCTGTCAAATGCTCTCATTTTAGGACCAAGGGCATTGTTCATGTCATACGACCGGTATTATTCAAACACTGGGATTCCCCATTATTGCCTCACGCCTTGTAACACACGGCGAGCCTATTGCTGGCGAGCTATGTTTCATTCCTGCCTGACACGGGTCACCCTTCACCCCGGGGCTATATAATACTGCATACATGTATGTGCTGAGAAATACTAATGTATATCTGTACCTAAGGTATACCTCACACACATAACTGCAGACGGAGTTTTGCCACGCTCATATTGCAATTGCATGTGACATAGATGATTATCTTTTCCTTCGACGTGTCCGAGGCCGACGGTCGACAGAGTTAACTCCCTTTTGTCAGCTGTTCCAAACACATACTGACATTAATGACGACTGACAGTGTATTGTCCACAATTTGTCTTGTTGAATAACATTAAAAAGACATATGTCAAGTCGATTACAGTTTGTGTGAGGCATGTGAAAATAACAATGTGTGAGACTGAAATATGACAAGTACTTTCTTATGTAATTCACACTGATTGATGCTATAAGCATTGGTGACACATTAAAAATGTATAATGCGTATATTTAACTTCACACCAGGTCAAGTTAATATATGCTATAAGATCACTTGTCAGCTTCTCCTTAACTTGTTCAAATATCTTTATTAATTATACTCATTATAATAGTAAATTATATTAAATACATTTTCATTACGGTAATCCCACCCAACACAGAGCCTAGCGTGTATAGTTTAAGATGACTTGTATCAATTCCATTTCAATGCATTACATCCGCAGTCGGTAAGAATAAAAACGTACTGGCAAGGTTTCGAGGCAAAGTATATATACATATGTTTTGCAATTTTTGCAAAATACTTCAAACTTAAATACAAGTACATGGTATATTCAGTTGTTTGTGAACAGCAAATTGAATCACTTGACTCGAATGGATTTCTGACTACGTTTTCTACACTAATACATGTCACATAGTACCAACGTAATTTCTTGGATCAATAAAGTAGATGATAAGGGTTTAACCACTGGTGTTCATAAAGATAAATTGAAAAGTGAAATTATACTCTGTGTACAATACCTGTAATAAAACATATTATTTAAATTGTACAAATGTAGTCGATCGTCACGTCATTGCAGCTGACCAGTGTTCCTGCACAAGAGAAGACAATATTGTTTCGTTGGAGATGGCGAATTTCACTAGTCCGGACATTCGACACCTTCCATCAGAGGTTCCATGTTCAAACTGGGGATACTCACACGTCATAGTTCTGTTCCATAACTCACTCACTCACTCAAATGCATTTCAAAATATTTTTTTCAGTCATCCGTTATTCAAGATCTGACACTTGCTCTGTTATATCAGATGCTTACTTAATCAATTGTAATATCGGTACAATATCTGAAACCTATAATATTGAGTTTATTTGAGACAATGTGAGATTATTGAAAACTGTAACCATTTTCTATATTACTCTTTCTAACCTGCACATTCAGTTGATAAGAATAAGGTTTTCGCAGGTATAATAATATGTCTTATGATAATGAAAAAGATTACGTCACTTTCATTACTCTGCTTCCCTTCGTCTTTGGGGGATGTATCGGGAGTAGATGTGAGATGATCCGAAAATCCGCAGTCCGAAAGCCGGAACAAGATTGTCACACCTGGTCGCTGTAACGGCTGGTCTACCTGCATGTACATCGAAAGCATGGATATTGGGAGGATGGGTAACCTCACAGCGCCTACTACAATTCCCGCACAGCAAGCAGGGGG